TACTGTTAATTAGACAAAAATAATTGGTTGCTTATTATGTTTAATTCATGTATACGGACCTAATTTTATTGTGTAAATATGTACACATGTAGTTTATTATTGACAGGAATACGGAGTAAATATTTTTATGTTTAGAATCGGTAGAGTGATCGTCACCGTTGACGTTTAGTCAAATGTCGACGGATGTCATCGGTTCAGATTATGGTGTAACATGTGCAACGACACAGTATGTCTATTAAATAAAAAATAATAAACAGACTTGATATGGTTATGTGGACCAAATAGCATCGTTTCGTCACTTTTAGGGGGAGTTCCTTCGCGTAACGGTTTCCCGAAACGCAATGTTGTTTAATATTTTAATTCTGGTTGAACATTTTTATTTAAATGCTTCAGATTATTCTTATTAGATATTGATATCAGTGAATCTAAACAAACCATGTTATTCCGTTAAGACAATCATGACAGTATATTAAAAATCAAGACACAATGCATGCTTTTTTATCCACCCTTTTATTGCGTTTTGAAACTGGCGAACAATTTATATTGTTCGAGTTCTTGACAGAACGCTGAGTCGTGGGGTAAGCCTACTACGTAACATACCATTTACATACTCAACTAAAGCACAAGTAGGCTATTTCTAAATCACAAGTACAGTAGGATACTTGAGTATACAAGTTAGCCTATTTCCCACCTCTGGTCAACAATGTTAGATCTTTATGTCAACTTACTAATAATATATCTTGAGTATTATCATAAAAATAGCACGTTTATTTATTTTAACAAACCACGTTTTCCAAGTAAAATCTATAGAACATATAATGTTTAATCTTTTTGAAAAATAGAGATCGGACCATCAGAAACAGATCATCAGTGTTGTGTACAGATCAGTCCGATAAAGTCATGCCAAAACAGTGACATTTTACGCGATAAATACGGGTTTAAATATCAGCATTTGCCACGGAAGGCGAGTGGCAGCTACCATAAACCTTCTCTTAACTTGTGGCATTTACTTGCCACGGCAAGTTGTGGCATATACTTGCCACGGCAAGTTGTGGCATGGTTGTGGCATATACTTGCCACGGCAAGTTGTGGCATCTGTGGCATATACTTGCCACAGATACCACGGAGTAGCGGCCTCTGTGGCAGATGCCGGAAGTACTTGCCACTGCCTGGGAAGCCACGAAATGAGCCAGGCCCTACTGCCTCCGTGGCGATGAAGGCTTGCGTTAAAATAAAAATAAAAACATATTTGAAAAGTGGGGGCTATCGAAGGCTTGCGAGATACCGGTAGCTCGTGATCGACGTGTTGGAGACCCCTGCTCTAATGACAAATATCGTTACTTCCGCCTATTCGGTCAGCCAAGAAATCGTTTAATCATAACGTTTTTTTTCAGTGTTAGGGGGGCACTGGCAAGTTATCAGTAAGCTCCACTTTTATTTTGAAATGTAAAATAACGAATGACATGCGCATTTACCCTTCAAAGTAAAAGCAAAGTGCCCCTTTTGAAAGTCGATTCTTTATTAAATTGTCGTTTTGTTTGTTTGTTTCCTAATCTTGAGTGTCACGTCCGGATGTTATTTGTAAAGATACACATTTGTCATTACATTTTTAACAATTCTATTAGTAATAGTTCATGTTTAAAAAAAAAAGAATGACAACCGGAAGTCGTTTTGTTTTGTTGTTGCCAGCTGCCGCCAGACTGACAGAGCTTCATGGTGGGGAGCATGCGTTGGAGTCTGCACGTGTTCGGCGAAAAACAGAGGAAATTTGACTAATTTCCCACTTAATTGATAATGTTTGCACTGCCCTGTGTGTCTCTTTGTGGGCAGGTTGTAATCTCAGGTATTGAACTCCTGACATGATGATTACAAGAAGAGAAATTGATGTATTGGCGCTAGCTAACAGCATGGGAGTTAGCGTTAGCTGAGAACAACATGCCCAGACTTGTCCCTTACCGCATACGCTGGGAGAAGGAAGGAATAAGGACCCACAACGTTACATAATTAAGTCAATTTTTTTATGACAAATACAATGGATTACCAGTTCCCAGAGCAACTTTACCCTTCGTTTTACAACTGCGGACCTCCAGACTTGGTCCTGAAACACTGTGCAGGAAACTGGGGCTGCTACGACAGAGTCCGACCTCAGGTGGGTCAGCTGTCAAATGCTACTATTTCACATAAACACACGAAAACATATGAATATAAACCATATTTTTAAATATTCTCAAGCCATGTATCGTAATAACAATACTTACATGTCAGTGGTATGACAGGGTGTCCGCGGGGTCTTAAAAAGTATTAAAAGTTGATAAATCAATTTAGCGAAAATTAAGGCTATTAAAAAGTATTAAACGGCATTTTCTAAGGTATTACATTTTGTAGCTTGTTTTCAATAAGTATATACATTGTCCAAAGAGGTTGTATTCTACAGTGTGCCTGAATGTAATCATTGCGTATGTGTGTAATGTGATTCTGTGTAGTTTATTTATGGCATCCCGTTGGGTTTGACGTCATCTGAACAGGACATCGCACGCTCACTGCTTGATAGCACGCGAAGGTCCGTTTACGCCGGTTGTTAAACAACATCGTTATGGGGAAATGCAATTTTGCGTCCAAATGGTTGGAAGATAAGGAGGAAGGACAATCAATACTGTATATAGTCAATGTGAGGTAAAGTGTGTCGCCAATGTAACCGGTTAAAACTCAAAGTGGCGATGAGGTCTTAAAATGTATGGAAAGGGTCTTTTAAAAAGGTCTTAAAAGGTTTTACATTTGACTTCAGGATTCCTGCATATACCCTGATTATGTTAATGAGAATACAAAACATGTCACTCCTTTGTTCACATCAGGACAACATTGGACAAGGTCTCCTTCAAAAATCTATACTTCTTAGACAATCAAATCTGGACTACATTGTCCTAAATATGATTCAATTCCACATTTTATTTGTTATTAAACCTTTATTCTATTTGTGAAAATCATAACAATGTTGAATCCACTGTTTTTCTTTTACATGTTCATGTGTGGAGCTGTTTTTAGTTTTTACCTAACCGGGATCAGACTTTCTAAGATGTCATCTGTAATGTCAGTCTTCTCGTGGTGTGTTTGTGTTTTCAGGGTGGCTCTGGTCCTCTCTCCAGCTGGACCTTTACCTCCAGGCATCAGGTCAGAGGGGAGACATGGTGTCACACGGAGCCAGCACCAGTTCCCCTCCTGCACCCCAAAAACTGTGAGTCCATGAGGGTCATTCAGGTCTCAGACAGCAGTCCACATCTGGAGAGCTGAAGCAGGAGAGACACTTGACTTAACATCAGATTTAAAAGGCATATGCAAAGGTTTTGTTTGGGCACTTGCAGCCTAATTTTTTCCAGAAATGCGACAAAGTACGTAATATAAAAGGAAAAATACATGAAATACTGCAATAGACATAATGGTGAAAGTACATTGCAAGACTAAGACACATATATACAAACAAAACATAATAAGACAAAAAGATTATACAATAAAGTACTATTTAGTAATGGAAATATTGTAATAGACGCATGAACAGTGTATTATAAACCCAGGCGAGTAGTGACACTTTACACGGCTCAGTCTAACGGCCCGTGGGCTAAAATTGTCTCTGATGTTTGTTGTACTGTTGTTTAAAAAAAGATGCCTTACAACTGCCAACATATTGGACAGTCAATAATTAAATGACAGTGAGATCACACAAAGTTCTGTTGAAGTAGGGCTACACGATATTGGAAAAACTGACATTGCGATGTTTTTCCCCCTGCGATATGAAAACATACAGGAATTGAAGAAAATACCGTTTTTTTCCACGCAAACCTTCCTTCCTTGAACTTTAATGCTATACAATTGGTATTTTTTGAACTAACCGGATGAAGGATTTTAGTCACGGACGTCTGGGCCTTAAGTTATCAGAGCAACGAGCTGAGCTAGCTCGGTTAGCAGCGCCGAACTGTCCTGGAGAAACACATGAATCTACTTTATTCAGTGTTTTTACCTTTAATCACCGGGTCCGTTTGCTTTGGAGATTTGATTGTGATTGGTGGTTTGGTCACTCACTCAAGTTGCCCTGACATGCGAGAGCAGCAAAAGAATTGTAACATGACGTGTTTGAGTTCATTTGCCTACTTAATATCGCAAGTCCACGCAATGTGAATATCGCGCATGCACATATCACGATTATCGTCACAACACGATATATCGGGCAGCCCTATGTTGAAGTAGGGCTGCTCAATTAGTCGTATTTTAATCGCGATTACAATTATGGCTTGCAACGATTACAAAAACAACATAATCGAAATAGAACAATTATTTTTTTATTATTATTAATAATAAAAAATTGGTTTTTCAGTTGAATTATATTTAAAGTTCAGGGTAATCAACTGTTAAAAACACACTGTTCACATTTTTTTTCTCCAATAAATGGATGTTTTCAAAGTGAATGAATAATCGCATTTAATATTCGCAATTACAATTATTGACCCAAATAATCGAGATTATGATTTTTGCCATAATCGAGCAGCCTTATGTTGAAGTACCCTTATATTTAATAAATCATCTGTTTGTGTGTTTGTATTTTGTCCAGCTGTCCTCTGGCCTTCGACGCCTCCAAATCCGCAGGATTTCTCAGAACATGTGAGTGTGAAAATTGAACAGTTTACAAACCCCCCTCTCAGATTCAAGAGATGTCTGTCTTAATCCTTAAATGCATGTTATCATATACAACAAAGATTAAGAAGACGTGTTTCAAAGCACATCCAAGCTCGCCGACCTGAAATCTGTTTTAAGCTTATTTTGGTTCTGTGTTTTAAAGTTTGTGAACATTTTCAGATGCAGAACTTCTTCATGGACCACTGCCAGGACGCCTTCGGGAGCATGAGCGAAATTCTGAATGAAGACTTAATCTTCAAACAAACAACGAAAAAGGTGATATTCACAAGAATATACTTTACTTTCTATAACATTTATTTCTTTAATTTCTTATCAATCCAACAGTTCTTCAAATGTATGGTTGAAAATATGAATAGACGCAGATACCAGTGAGACCCCTAGCTGCCTTGTGACCTCCAGCTGGTCCGTGGCTCTGTTAAAGCATACATTCCATTTTGAGCAATTCCCCTATAGTTATACCACATTACCTTTACATGCTATACTAACCAATAAGCTGTTGATCTTGCTTTGTATGATGTTATAATATTATGTGTTTGGTGTGTTTTGCAGATGTCTCGCATTGACTCCCTCTACATGAGGAAAATGGAAAGCCTCATCAAGAAGGGGAAGTTGAAAAAGTGAGTGGTGCGGACCGACCGGTAAATATCTGTGGCTGTGTGATTGTTGTGTTTATTTGTCCCATCTTTTGTCCAGGCGTCCGTTGTCGTTTCCCTCCAAGGTGCTGAGCGCGTACGGCTCCATGCTGTCGGACGTGTTGCCCGCCGTGCCCCCCGCCCTGCTGGGCTCCCTGCTGTTCGAGGAGCTGAAGGAGCAGAGGGAGCGCATGCTGTTCTCTGAAGCAGCCACAGGGGGCGCTCTGGCCTTCGTCCCTTTCTCACAGAGCAGCAGCGACTCTCAGAGCGGCTGCCTCCTCTACCCCGGGAACCAGGGGCTGGACTGCCTCAGTATCCTGCAGACTGCATACTTACATTTTGAGACCAGGGGTGTTTCTCAATCGCGAGTAAAGCTGCCACTATTTCAAGCATACTACGTCATGCCGCCGAAGGACTGTTCCAATCTCCAGCATACTTGGAATTCTACCGAGTCCGGCGTACTTAGTTTGGAGAAATTTCGAGACTGCACATGTGTAGACTCTGCGGTCTTAAAATCCCCACAATGCTTTGCGCACGGACCAATTTCCCCAAATCTGTGGTGGAAAATGTAAGACGGGGCCTCTCATATGACGCACACTTGCTCGAGTGTTCCACTCTTTGTTTTCCGAATGCCAGGAAGTATTTTTACCTCGCTTCTGAAGCAAGATGCTCGGCAGACATGTGCTACCAAGCAAGCGTACTCGCAATTGAGAAACACCCCAGGTGTGGTCTGAGATGTAGGTGGGGTGGAAATAAAACGATTGACAGAAGACGCCAATTACTTTGGTTTATCAGAAGACGGATGCCTTCTCAACGTTTTCGTCCACCTTACTGGACCTTACTGATGTCAACGGGACGGTACGTATTTCGATTAATGTTTAATATAAAATTAAAACAAAGGGGAAATTCGTGAAGTGGTGACCTTAGGCTATGAGTCAAAAAAAAAANTTTCAAACCCAGAAGACAGTAGCAAAAATAAAGGTGGGGGGTGGATGTAGAGCTGTTTGGTGTTCTTGTTGCATCTTGTTTCTGTTCCTTAACTCAATACCTCAGACTTCAAGAGAGTGGAGCTGCAGCAGCACAGAGGGACCCCCCCCTGTTTGAACACCAGCAGCTCTGATCGGTGGAGCTTCCAGCTGAAGGCCCCCGTCAGACAGATCAGCACCGTCTCACTTATCAACAACTGTAAGAAGCAGAAAGCATTTAGAAATGTCATCAGGAGTGTGATGCGGCTCCGGATATTTGACCACGCCTTGGTTCCCAGGTTGTGTGGCCGTGCGCTCGGATCACATGTGTGGAGTCTGGAGGTTCAGTGAAGGAAACAAGCCTCAGCTTATGGAAGTTGTCAACACCAAAGAGGTCGCCACCTGCATCAGTGTCAGGTGAGTGGTACCCAAGGCCCCCCGAGGCCTCACTGGTCAGAGGCGAGAGGTTCCTGATATGTGGAAAATGTAAAAAATTAGGACCATGTGTTAAAATAAAGATTATCTGCTTTTTGTTCAGTCCTCATGTTCTAGGTGAAGTTCTGGTGGCGAGTGAGAGCGGAGCGGTAGACCTGTGGACCGTCGGCAGAGGGTGAGGACAATTAGTTTGAGGACAAAGTGTTGTTTTGTTTTTTTAAATCCAATCTGAACTAAAAGTGACCTTTGCTCTTAGGATGCAGAGGGTTCGGGAGGAGGAGGAAAACCTGTACTTCAACGCTAAGTCGTCATGGCGATGGTGCGAGTTCTCCGCCCACCCGAGGGTGATGGTGTATGCAGACAGGACGGGGGTGGAGCTCACTGACATCAGGGTGAGTGGTGTTGTTGAGAGTTAATGAATAAGACACTTTGGTAAAAGTAAACTAACTGATGACTTGCAGTAAAATAGATTTTTGATCTTATTTCTGTAAGGGCATTAAATGCATCAATCTTGTAAGTTGTGTTGTAAATATATTCATTCTTCGATATAACAGCCAACCTCTTATCCTTTTCAGTTCAAGTTCCATAAAGAAACCTCATAATCTTCTTTTAAAATCTCAGCTAAACACAAACCTCCTCTGTCTCCTCAGGTGAGTCCTGTCTCAAATCACACTCTGTTTCGTATCAGCAACACCGCCGAATGTCGCAGTGGAGAGAGACTCATCCTGTCCAGATACCTGGCAGACATCCACCCCTTCCACCACCTCATCACCACTCAGGTACGGAAACATTAACAGCGATATAAGACACAGATGGCTTGTCCAAAGTTTGTGTAAACACACAGAACTTCGTTTAACATAATAATAATAATAATAATACTAAAGCGTCCAGAGACACCAAATACTTCAGAATAGAAGTTGAAGAAATGTTCATTCTGCTCAAGAAATGTGCAGTACCTCACTGAGACCACTAGGTGTCAGGGTTCTCATATTTGGTGCTTATATTTGAACAATTAGCCTGTAAATGTGTCACTGTGTCTGTTATGTGATGTAATTGTGTTGTTTCAGTTTCAGAAAGTATATATTTTTTTAGTGACCTCTCTCTGACTTTACCCGTGTCTCTCTGTCAGCACTCGGCCTACATCATGGACGAGCGTTTCCCCTGCGTGCCCATGCTCAAGTGGGATCACATGATGCAGTCTCCACCAATGTTCTGTCACACTTTCCCTGGCTCCGCCTCCTCCCGGACCGCTAAGGTTCTGCTGGGCTCCCACAACTCTCAGGAAATCACTCTGCTGCAGTACTCAGGTCTGTGCAATGTGGCATTTCTACAAATAAGTGTAAAATGTTTCAGTGTGTCGTGGCTTCCTTCCTTATTTTTCTATCAAGCCACTAGATGCCTTAAACAGACATTTGTAACTCGTTTTCTTTCCTTTATATTACTTACAGTTGATGAGTTGCTTGGCCTCCGATGGTTTGGATGATATTATGCAATGGGTTTGCTCAAAATAAAATAACAAACTTTTACACATGCAACAAAGAAAAGAGGCCTTTACAATAGTCAAAATAAAAAGGCAAAACTCTAATAAAATAACAAACAACTTAGGTATTCTTTCTTGCTTTCTTTCTTTGTTAAGGCTTGTATAACTTTAAGGGTAATTGGGCGTTAAAAGCTGCCTCGACGGGGTCCTTCTAACAGGTTGCCCATTACTGTTACTTTAGGGGAGGCGTTGTGGGAATTGTAGTCTTTTATACTCTGGTTGACTACAGATGTCACGATTAGGTGGCCTTTCTTATAAAAACAAAATACTGGCTCTAACACAGTGTATTGAGTGTCCAGGCTTGGTTCTTCACTTATATATATGTGTCTGTGTAGGAGGGAAAGCCGAAGCCTGTTCCAGTCGGGGTCCTCCTCAGGCGCTGCTCAGACCCAGAGACAGCCTGAGACACCTTCCTGTCCAACTCCCTCACCGCCTGGAGCTGGCCACCAGAAGACTGTCCTCACCAGCAGCAGGTGTGTGTGTGTGTGTGTGTGTGTGTGTGTGTGTGTGTGTGTGTGTGTGTGTGTGTGTGTGTGTGTGTGTGTGTGTCATATTCAAGTACTTTTGATGTGTGATTTGTAATTTGAGTAACTAACATACAACTGGTCATTTCCTTTGAAGAATTGAGACCATTATATGTTCGGAGCGGGACTAGAGAGTGCTCTAGTGAGGCATGTGGAATAGTGCGTTTGTGTTCGGATCGGGAGGGCACAGGTTCAAACCCCACTGCAGTCAGCATGTCGTTGTGTCCCTGAGACACTTCACCCCAAATTGCTCCTGTGGCGATTGTCCACAGTATTGAGTAAGCAAGTCGCTTTAGATAAAAGCGTCTAACAAGTAATGTAATGTAATGCTCTCTGGTGTTACATTACATGTTTGACTTACATACTCAATACTGTGGACAATCCCCACAGGAGCAATTTGGGGTGAAGTGTCTTCAGGGAGACAACGACATGCTGACTGCAGTGGGGTTTGAACCTGTGCTCCCCTGATCCGAACACAAACGCACTAGTCCACTGCGCCACACGCCTCACACTACTACTAGTGTTCAAACACTATTTCTAATTTATCCTAACATATGGTAGTACAATTAACATTACACTACTGACATCATTTGTCCTTAATTTCAAATATTATAATTTTGAGAATTTATCTGCAAAAAATCAGAACTGATTAGATTTTTATGAATCAAATGATGCAAAGAAGAAAAGTACATTTTATAATCATCACAAAAATGGTGATTATAAAAAAAAAAAATATGTTCAAAAATAATTCAGACATTAATATTGTTGAAAAAACAGACAGATTTGACCTTTTAGACATTTAGAGAACATTTTATTTTACACACATGGCTATAAATAGTAAACCGATATTGCTAGTATTTCTTTCAGTGGTCTGAAAAAGGTTTCCACAGCTGTATACACACTCTGTCCTAACTGTACGATGTATCATCTACATAATATTCCAGACTTGTACTTAAATCACACAGGTGGCTGAACTTTTTTTGTTGTGTATTCAGGTCTGACTTGTATCCAGAAGAGAGAAGGGGGCGAGGAGTGTATCTGTATCCTCCAGCTGACGGAGGCGGGGGATATTTTTTACCAGATCCTGGAGCACGAGCAGTCGCACACCCCTCCACCAGCTCGGGAGAAAAACACAAATTCAGAAATAAATCCAGCCCAACAACCACCACAGTCTTTGAGGCTCATATCGGAAACATCGAGCGACGAAGACATAATCGGCCCGACTCAGACGCAGAGCTTTGTGGCTGAAACACAGGAGGAGGAACAGCCAGGACTGGACATGTACGCTTCCTCTAACGAGTCCTGGTCCCCAAGAAAGTCCCGCTACATGAAGAATTTGCAGCTGCACGTCAATGACTTCGACAATGAGGATCAAGTGAGTGGACTGGACACAGGTCAGACTGATGAAACCGTGAGTGGACTGGACACAGGTCAGAACGAGGAAACCGTGAGTGGACTGGACACAGGTCAGAACGAGGAAACCGTGAGTGGACTGGACACAGGTCAGACTGATGAAACCGTGAGTGAAGAAAAAGCTGATATTCCAGAGGAACCCAGCCGTGTGGAGGAAACAACAAGCGGCAGCCAGAAGCTCAGCGACGGTGTTCTGGTCACATGGAAACAGTGGCTGCAGAAATTGATGCAAAAGAGTCACAAGAATAAGCCCCGCCCACGGCGCAGGCAGCCCTTCAAAATCCCAACTAAAGAACTCATCTACCTGTCGTCTGACGATGAAGCGATGAGAGGAGAGGATTCAGCGGAGAAGGAGCGCGTGGAGAACGTGAGGCGGGACCTCAGAGCGTGCATGACCAACCGCTCGCTGCTCGTTCACAGCGCCGTGTCCGCCTCCCTCGGAGACCAGGAGGTGGTGGAGGTGCCCGACGCGGTGAATACCGACGGCTGGGGGGATCCGACGAGCGAGCGCCTCACTGTCTCCTGGCAGGGGGAGGGGGCCTGGCAGGCGTGGTGGGCGGAGAACCTGGGGCTGAACAGGGAGAAGAAGGTGGAGGCTCTGAGGAGGAAGAGGAGGAGGGAGAAGGAGGTGAGGAGAGCGTCCAGCCAGCGCTCGGTGCTGTCCAGCAGCTTCTGCTCGTCTCTGAGCTACCAGTCGGACCTGAGCGACTTCTCAGATCTGTCCGGATGGTCCTCGTCCGCCAGTTTGGGGGCGTGGTCCGACAGCGAGGGGGGGCTGTCCCAGGCGGAGGGGTCTGTAGGGAGCGGGATCCTACGAGCTGCAACACCCTCCTCCAGTCAAACAGACCCCACGCCTCAACCAGGGAACCAGACCCCCACGTCTCAACGAGGGAACCAGACCCCCACGTCTCAACGAGGGAACCAGACCCCCACGTCTCAACGAGGGAACCAGACCCCCACGTCTCAACCAGGGAACCAGACCCCCACGTCTCAACGAGGGAACCAGACCCCACGTCTACAACGAGGGANCTCTCGACTCCACCCCGGCCACTGTGAGGAGGATCAAACCCCAAGAAGACTACCTCAGCGCTCTGTTTGCACCGCAGGTAAGAGGGAGGGGTAACAACTACAGATCTCTCTCGTCCACACAGAAGCATAGGCGGGGCTTGAGGCTCAGGTTTGGGAAGGCTAAATAACTTGTTTTACCTGACGCTCCCCGCCTCCGGCGTCAATAGATAGGAGATCAACCGAGATCAACTCTCAGTGAAAGCACCGCCTGCTGACCAATCAGAGCCAGTGTGCGGAGTTTACATCTATCAAGTTATATTACAGGATAAAGGAAATACAGACAACTGCCGTATGCAGGGAAGACGCCGACGTGTCGCACTTATCATTCATATCACATCATTCAATCAGATCATCGATCATATAATATCATAATGTATCATAATATCTTCTTATCTGAGTCAGCTTCTTGAGCCGTATCTGGTCGTGCCACACTTACAGTGTCACATAGCCTACTGTATGCAGAAGTATTATTTTAAGCAACACATTAAGTTGACGAAACACTCAACTCAAATGTAATTATGTTAATTATTTAATTATTGAGTCAGATCACTCGTGTCTTAGATGAGGCAGTGATATCATAAACCTGTTAATGTAGGCCTACGCATTCAAACACTCAGTCGTTTATTTATTTTTTAACCAGCTGTTCTGTATTCTCCTTGCAGGTGCAACTATGTTGCTTTTATCCTGGATAAAGTGTTTAAGTCATGGATGTTTAAAGTTTAACTTCTTCATATTTGTCTAATATTATAGTTTCATTTTCATTAATGAAGTATGACGCTGGGCTGTCAGTACGCTTTTCCATGTTTATGATTGGTCAAATGTTGCTAGCCCCGCCCCTTCAACGCGCTCTCAGCCGGACAGAGAAACCCTGGGTTGATTTACTGAGTTGATAACCAGCATCGTAGGACCGCTTAGCGAGATCTCGTTTGTTAGGATTAGTTAAGATAACTCAAACATATCCAGGGTCTGTTGAGCTGGCTTCGTAGTACAGTTTACTGGTGGCTGCATAGCGCTAATGTCAAAGACACAAACATTATACATTATATTTAAATTTCACCAGGATGCAGTGACAAAAATATTGAGGCTTAGCCTTCCCTAGCCTACAGTACCCGCCGCCTCTGCACAGAAGCTTTGGTGGCGGTTGCTAGCAGCAGTTAGCATTAAATACGTTGATTTAAGATAAGAAGTACTTTCTTGATCCCAATTTGGGAAAGGTTTGCGTTGCAGCAGCATTAAAGGGCATTATCAGCAGTTGGCCTTAAATAAGTTGCTTTAATAATACATTGGATTTTGATAGCGCTTTTCCTAATGCTCCAAGACTAGAGATGTCCCGATCCGATCACGTGATCGGGGATCGGAGCCGATCACGTGATTTTCAAAAGATCGGAATCGGGGGGAAAAAATCGGGGATCGGATTTTTTTTTATTCAATGTTACAAAACAAAAATGACCATGTTCAAGTCTTAAAGTCATCCTGAGGCCTTAGTTTTGGTTTCAAATTACACAACATCATGTATGTGTTGCTTCTTTGGGGCTTGTTTTCATAGACCTGGTTGCTTATTTCTCTCAAATCTGGCAACAGAGTGGGCAGGGCGCAGTGTCTAATTGTAGCAGTAAGCTAACGAGTACTGATAAGCTTTATTTTGTTTTGATCCAATGCTGCACAACTGAACTGATCCAATGCTGCTGTGAAAGAAAGAAGCTATATCCATGTTGGATAGAATATCCAATTTAAATAAAAAAATAACCTTAAGGGACAACTTGAATGCTTTTTTTCTCTTAATGCATTGCATAAAGATCGGATCGGGAAAAATCGGTATCGGCAAATTGTCAAAATCAAATGATCGGAATCGGATCGGGAGCAAAAAAAGGTGATCGGGACATCCCTAAAGTCAAGTGAAGTCTCATGTTTCTTTAGAATGATCCTCACCAATGGGTGTGGAGATTCTAAGCAGTTCAATCCATCTTTATAGATAATGACATTTAAGAGGTTTAAAAAAGTGAAAGTATTCCACAGGAAAAAGATGGAGATAGATGTTATTGTGTGTGTAACATCTGTGTCTCATCCCTTTATTTATCTGGCTCAGATTCCTCTCCGGACACTTTGCAGGGTCCTGACTAAAGCCTCGAGTCAGTAACTGTTTCACATTCAGATGATAAACGTTGCTCCCCTGATATCGCTTCTCTCACCTGTCGGCCTCGTCCAGGATGATGACCTTGTGTCGTCCTTTGGGCAGTGTGACTTTCTGCTGAGCAAACATCTTGATCTTGTTCCTCACCACGTCGATTCCTCTGCAGACACAACAGCATCAGCATAACCTCGACAACGCATGATTAACATATTAAACCAGTGTGTGCTGTTTTAGGAGTAGAAATTGCGAGAAAAGTCCAAAATAAGCCGTGAAGGAACAACCTTATAAACATGGATTAGACAACATGTTCTTGTAACATGGTGCAAATAGGAACGTTTATGTATGCTGTCAATTATAGTTCCTAGAACGTCAGAAAGGATAAACAAGTGCATCTTTATTACAGTCAACGTTCAACCTTGAAAAGATTTCTACAAAATAATCTGAGCTCAAAGTAGAAAGCTAGTTAATGAACTGTGAACAAAGATTATTTGTGTTTGTTTTGTTAGTATGTCACCTTTCATTTGAAGCGTTGAGCTCCAGCACGGCGTCTTTCATGGAGGCTCCCAGCAGAGCTCGGGCCAAACACAAGATGCTGGTGGTCTTTCCTGTGCCCGGAGGACCTGCACCACAAATCACATTTTACCATTGACTTTGTATTCCAAAACAGTGACAAAAAGCTAACAATAGGATTTACATAAGCTGTTGCAATCTTCATATTAGAAAAACAATCAGATTTATAACCGATGCATTCGTTTTAAAGCTGTTGTCATTTTAGATAACCACAACCTTACTGTTTACAAGCTTTGTGTACAGCTAAGGTGTGAAACACAGAAATACACCAGTGTTTGAAGCGATAAAGTGACATGTGTCAGTGAGGCATTGTTTGATCAATGTCTTTATTTTAGACGTCTTGTATCAGTGTATATTCAGTTCAGTGGGCGAAAGTAACTTGGTAAGAAAGTACTTTTACTTGAGTTGGTACTGTATGTAAATTGACACAAATCATTATAAATTGTTATAGATAAGATAAGCACAGCAGACTATACATTAATAAAACTGTACCCAACCTTTATCAGCTGCAAAATTAAAGTGATGAAAACATTCAAACATCAACAATATTACTTTAACTTCAGGAACATTAAAGTATATTTTGATGCTTATACTTTAACTTGAGTGACATTTTGAAAGCAGGACTTTGCAGTATTTTCACACTCTGGTATTACTACTTTCACTGAACTATAGTATCTGAGTACTTCTTCCACCCAGAGCATCATGTAGTTGCTGCATTATTGAGCAGCCGGTTGGGAGTAAAACAATAAAACACTAAACTTTAATTCCCAGTCCTTTCTACCTCCTTGTTTCCACACTGACCTGCAATGATAATGTTCGGGACGTTTCCCTCCCTGGCGAACACCTCCAGCCGGCTCACCGTCTCCACGTTCCCCACAATCTCGTTCAGCTTCAGCGGACGGTACTTCTCCACCCAGGGCAGTTCATAGCTGACACCGGAGCTTTTAGTCGAAGCCTCCCCGGCTCCCGTGTCCGGTTTCTGCCCGCTTTCCGTTGTTGTTTTCTCACTTTCAGGCTCCACCATCTCCACGTCGTCCATGATGAGTTCAGTCTGTCAGCTCAGCCCGCGAACTAGTATGCAGCGGAACTTTTCCCTCCCTGGCAACCACGAGTGATGAAACTGACGCCTCATTGGTCGAGCGTTTATTCAGTGACGCCACTGATTGGTCCAGGACACGGCACTTAAACCTCGCGATATTTGCAACAACCACGATCGTAAAAAACAGTAAAGACAAAATGATATGATAAACAAAGACACATTCTTGAAACCTGTGTAATGCTTTTTGGTATTACTTCAAAATATATGCTTGGATGTGTAAGATTGTACAAACCAACAGAGCTTGAATATACAAAATATAATGGTCTTGATTGAAAGCATTTATATTTCTTTTATATCGTTTATTTTAATTTTTATTCTTTACAAATTATTTTCAGGCTATGTTTGGGGGGTTTTCAGAAAAGTGGAAACAGTCAAAATATAGTTTTTTTTATACCTAGTTTGTCAATTTGCCTCTGTAGATTTCACCTAAAATCACCAGTTCAATTCAAAGAAAGAATCAGATGATGTATGATTTAAACACATTTTCAGATTGCTTTGTTTCATTCAAAGGCTGATCATTGTATATCTAAAATCAAGGCAAACTTTGATTTTTTTTTCAAAATGCTGATATTACCTTTCTGATTTAGGGAATGTCACAAATATATATCCACAATTCCCTCTTTAAAAACCTTTGAATCTGTTTTACAATACATTATTTGTTGAGCCTGTGTTACCATGGTAATGTAGAATATTGACGTAGCCAGAATACCAGTTAAATATTAAATTAAAGATAATAAGATAGTCGCTAATTTGCATACAACATATTGTCTTTTTTAAAAGATTTAAATAATGATATTTTTAATAATAAATGCCCCCTGGTGTGGAATGAGGTGTGGAGGCCTCAGTAGGAAGTCTCGATAGGAAGTCGTCATCGTCTCGGTCTAAACCGTTTCCTTCTTCCGCAAACACAGGGTAGCTTCCCCGTTTATCGGTTGATCAATGCGGCGGTGGACTTCTGCCTCTCGTCTCCTGGCTCCATTTAATATTTCTAACAGTTACTCACATTTATGAGTGATTGATTCAGCGCAATGACGGCCAACAGCCGCTGTTCCGCCGCAGAGCCCCCGGGCCTGGACACCCAGCGGCGGGAGATCGAGTCTCTTCTACGGGAGTGGGAGCTCCGCGCTGGGGACAGTTGGTGAGTCTAAAAACACTGTTAGCATCACACGGCTAATGGTTGCTAACGGCTTTAACGGCAGAGTGTTGGTTCTTAGGAACCGTTTAATGGTTGGTGTTGGTTGTTGGGGGCCGTTAACGGGTCGGTGTTGGTTATTAGGGACCGTTAACGGGTTGGTGTCGGTTGTTAGCTCGGGCTAACCGGGGCCAACAGACGTTAAACTGGCCGTTAACCGACGATGCTAACGTTAGCCTGTCAACCTGGTGTAATGACATGTTCAGGCTCCACTCCTATGCTTCTACTTTTGTCTTCACCAGAGCTGGACTGGGATGTGGAAAATGGGAGCTGCGCAATTAAAGACATATGTGCCGTTGAGTTTTGAAACGAGATGTTTATTTGACCATTTCTGCATAATAAATAACAATTGAATGTGCTAAAAAAACATTTGCAACCTTCTTAGCAGGAACTCAGGCTTCAAACCAACTTTACTCCACTACATTTATGTTGTACTTTTAGTTAAGTTACAGATTTAGATTAATGATGTGAAAAATAATCAGCACTTAAATCAGACTTTAGTTACACCTGGAGTAAACTTACAAGCTTCCCTGCAGTATACAAAGTCATTAAACCTAGCTGCACCTTTACCAGCTTTGAGAACACTTTAATGATCAATCATTATAAAACATATCATATACATTATTCTGAAATTCTCCAATCTGCAAAACGAGTACTCTTACAGAGTTTAGTCTCAGTTTATTGTATCGTTTCACCAGTACTACCACCACCACTGTGAAAATACTCTTTCACAAGTATTCCTGCATTGAATATGTCACTTGAGTGAAATTATGTAAGTGTAATCAGGAAAAAAGTTAAGGTATTAAAAGTAGTAGCGGTCCTCCTTTGGCTTTGATTACATTACTTAGCTAATAGTGAAGACATTGTGATGTTAAGTGTCCTACCTAAAGCTGAATCAACATGTTGATATAGATTATTTTTCTTTAAATAAAATCATTGGGACTATGGACAAAACTTTGGGACTTTACACCTTTCTGGGGGAATTAAATTCATTGGACTTTTTGGGATTATATGAGTTGGAAACAACAATCCTTATTTCTAACTGCATAGGAAATGAAGGGTTAAACAGAATGAATAGAAATGGAAAAAGAAAGAAACAACTCTGTCATTCAAATGCTGCTTTAAATTTAGAAGTCAAAGTAGAATGAGGCTTCAAACCTTTCGAGCCTTAGCTCATTTAAGTCATTTTTGACTACCTAATACCGATAATGTAATGAAGCATCAAAGTCAAGCAGCCATAGAATACCTTTGCCTCTATGATGCTAAAAAAACATTCACTAAATTGAACAACCATCCCTGACTCTCAGCTGACACAGAAGTGTGTTTCCACTGGAGACGCACTGAAGTGATGAGTGTTGTGTTTTCTTCTGATGCCGTCCAGTCGCACTGTAGTGGAAACACGATCGGGCAGATTGTGATGCACCATGACTGGGCAGGTTTCTGCTGTCGCTGGAACAAACAGCAGCCTTCATTTGGTTTCATTTCCCATTCTCTGTCCACATTTTCATAAATCTCACAGTAGAGCAGGAGTCGTAACGCTGTCAGAAGATTTACTTTATAGGTGCACCGTGGGGACCATTCAAGAGCAAGTCCAGCTTTTGTTTTATAGCCTGTGACGGTGTGCTGATTTTATCTTCTGTGGTTTGGTGTATTGGATTTTAATCACATGGGATCTACAAATGCCCTTACAGAAAGAGATGTACTTATAAAAAGATATTTAGTCTCACCTCAGATCTGTGGACATCTTCTTACACTGTGATAAAAGTATAATGATACCCAGATCAGAGAAAAAGGAAAACATTTGACTAACAAGTAAAGCAAAACTGTGTCTGTGAGACAAAATGAAACTGAAAACAAAACCTGTGTGTTGGTGGTTTGGTGACATCAAGTGTTCAGATATATTCACTAAACCAACCGTGTGTGTTTCCGTGTAACAAGGGCTCTGACATTTGCATTTTAGATAGTTTTTCTGTGCTCTTGTTCTTCTGTAGAAAAGGAGCCCAAATGTTAGTGACCTCAGTCAAAGAGCTGGACTGATGTGAACGAAAACACAGTTGACGCGTGGGTGTGTTACGTAACAAAACCATTGTGAAATATGCGTTGGGCTTGAAGCAGTCAGATGTTTGGACTCCAGTGTAAATGATTTACGTGTCGGGTGTAGAGCTGACTTTAAGGAGTAGGAGAACAAGGCTGCACAATCATTAAGGCTCCAACTTGTTTTATTCTGGATTTTGTCCAAAAGACATGTCAGAAAAATGTGAAGAATCTCCATCCCTCAAATTTTAAAGATTTTTAGTTGTTGTAGAAATTCAAAACTCTCAGATGTTTTATTCAATATGATGAAAAAAAATGATATTTTTGCTGAAAAATGTAATAATTATGAAAGTAGTTGAAAAGGAGTTTGTGTGTGTGTGTGTGTGTGTGTGTGTGTGTGTGTGTGTGTGTGTGTGTGTGTGTGTGTGTGTGTGTGTGTGTGTGTGTGTGTGTGTGTGTGTGTACTTTCTGACACTAAATGTGTGTGCTGCAGGTACGTGGTGGAGCGTCGCTGGTATGAACAGTGGAAGGAGTTTGTGGAGACCGGAGACCAGAACTCGTCATCTTTCCCCGGTCAGATCGACAACACTGAGCTGTTTGAGGGTCAGTGAACGCCTCGCCCACAAACAACACGCCTCTCCTCATACACTCTTCTTATTTGTCAGTCCAAAACCAAACATAATCAGTTTAATTTGATATAAAACAGAGAAAAAGGCAGGAAATCTCCATAATGAACCAATACATTCAGATATCCTTCCTCCCTGACACAAACAAACGTTTAGCATGTTTGATAAACTGACTGCACAAAGTTTTCTGCAGCTTCTGGTCTAATGCAAAAATGTCTGTTTTTAGACCTGGACTCGTACCACCTGAAGGAGCGCCTGGTGGAGAACGAGGACTTCATGTTGGTGCCGGCTGAGGCCTGGCACAAGCTGCTCGCCTGGTACGGCATGCTGGAGGGGCAGCCGCCGCTGGAGCGCAAGGTAACATGTCCTGAGCTTTCGGCCAATCAGGTGCAGAGGCTATCATTTATCTCCAAAATCAGACAAGGTGTGTTTCCTCGACTTAAGACCCTTTAACTGTACTTGTGTGTGTGTGTGTGTGTGTGTGTGTCAGGTGGTGGACCTGCCCAGCACCCTGAAGGTGGAGGTGTACCCCGTTGAGATATTCCTCTGTCTCCATAGCAACATGGAGAACGTCATCACAGCCCAGTTCAGCCGCACGGACAGCATACGTGAGTTTGTGTATGTGTGTGTTTGTGTGCGTGTGTGTGTGTGTGTGTGTGTGTAAACATCTGTTGTCCCTTACACTCTGACACTACATGTTGGGGAGGTTGTTAACCAGCTTCACGGCTCAGGGCTGACTCACAGCGGGCGGTGTTGGAAGTAGCCGAGGTCAGATCAGTGAAGTTCCTCCACAACAAACTGTGAAAAGCATTTCTCCATGAAGCTGTCGTGAAAGGGGAAATGTGCCGGGTCTCCATGAACCCATTTTTATGCTAATTTTGAAGTATTGCATTAAAAGAGCTGTGTGGAAACACGTGTTTGTGCTTTGATGCTGTTATGCTCACTTCAGGTCTTTTTCTTATGTTAAAAAGTTACTTTAAGTTTTGTTTTTCCTTTCTGCGTGTCATTTTGTATTCAATGGCCAACGTTTAAGGACTTACATGGTGTCTAGAAGAAGGGTTCATTTTCACATCTTGTGTGTGTAGACTCGATCCAGAGGGCGATGTGTGAGGCGTTCTCGGTGCCTACGGGCTCCGAGTGCCGTCTGTGGATGAAGAGTTCGGACAGCACCTGCGAGCGCCTCAGGAACGTTCACGTGAGCGTGCTGGACGCCTGTCTGAGCTCCGCCATGGTGAGGTCACACTGTTTAACATCACTTATATACAAACATATTATTATTATCATAAGTGTCAATTCATTCATAGAGTTCCAGTTAGAAGATTGTTTTCACATTAGCATGAGCCGGCCTCACTCACTTCCTCATAGCACCGAGCCTCCTTTACAACAATCCTCAGAGATAATCTGGAACGTGTGTGTGTGTGTGTGTGTGTGTGTGTGTGTGTGTGTGTGTGTGTGTGTGTGTGTGTGTGTGTGTGTGTGTGTGTGTGTGTGTGTGTGTGTGTGTGTGTGTGTGTGTNTTCTCTCAAATCTGGCAACAGAGTGGGCAGGGCGCAGTGTCTAATTGTAGCAGTAAGCTAACGAGTACTGATAAGCTTTATTTTGTTTTGATCCAATGCTGCACAATTGAACTGATCCAATGCTGCTGTGAAAGAAAGAAGCTATATCCATGTTGGATAGAATATCCAATTTAAATAAAAAAATAACCTTAAGGGACAACTTGAATGCTTTTTTTCTTCTCTTAATGCATTGCATAAAGATCGGATCGGGAGAAATCGGTATCGGCAAATTGTCAAAATCAAATGATCGGAATCGGATCGGGAGCAAAAAAGGGTGATCGGGACATCCCTATCCAAGACGCTTAACATAAAATCAGAACAGAAACAATACAAAGAAAACAAGAGTTATTTCTAAGACAACATTTGATATAATGTTATAATGTTGATATGCACTTCTGCAACATGTAAAAAATCCGCTTCGCACTAGAGAGCAGACTGGAGATGTAGCCACCTCAAACTTGGATGAGCACTTGTCTTTTCCAGGAAGTGTCATTTGCCTTTTATACAAGTTTCCCCCGTCTTTCTCTAGGACGATGCCTCGCAGCACGGCGGTTATTTCCTGGAGGAAGAGAGCCCCGTGCTCCACGCTCCTCCAGCTGTGGCCTCGTCCTCCTCCCAGTCCGCCTCTCTGAGGAGCGTCAGGACCGGTTTCTCCCAGTCCCTCACCCCATCCCAGAGCTCACAGGGCAGACCGTGGCTGTCCCAGGCACCACTCGCCAAGAAGAAAAAGCCTCGGATGGGATTCTGAACCATTGGCTGGAGTGTGTCCGCCACACATGGAGCGGAGCATTTGGAATACCTGTTCTTCTTCTTCTTCCTTCGATGCATCTGGAATCAGAGTTTGTGAAATGGATTTATTACGGTTGCATTCACTGGATCCAATGGATGATGGACTGACTGGAAGAGCAACCATGGCTCTGTCCCTGAAGACGAAGACGACTGTGCTTTGGTAGGAAAACATTACCTTTGTTTTGTGACTTATGGTTAACAAGAGATGTGTGTATGTTTGTGCGTCAAATGGCGCTGCTGGTTTCACTTTGATCCTTCCATTAGACACTCACACAGCTGATGTTGTTTCACTTCATTCCATAACACTCCGAGTCACAGAGACGGGACGAAACGACATGGCTGATGTGAAACAGAAGGAACGAGGAAAGACATGATAAGCTAACCCGAGGTCGAGAAAAAGTTTTGTTGGAATTGAAAATTTGTGTGTGTGTGTGTGTGTGTGTGTGTGTGTGTGTGTGTGTGTGTGTGTGTGTGTGTGTGTGTGTGTGTGTGTGTGTGTGTCTCTGTTTTTTTCTGTTAATGAAAGCACAACCTGCACTGTTAAAACCTTTTGTATGACGTTTTTTTTCTACATCTGCTTTAAATAAAACAGAAAGGATTTAGTAGGAAGATGTGGGTTGTTATTGAAAACCAACAGGAAATGTTTGAACTTGTGTCAGAGTTATTACAGAGGAAAAAGGACATAATATTGTGAACCTCTCCCACGCCTGACTTTAATTTAAGAATGGTCAACCTTAAACTAAATGGATATAATGTTAAAGGTCCCATGTCATGCTTTTCCGGTTATTACCCGTCCCCTTGTGTGTTATGAAGCTTTTTATGCATTTAAACGGTCTGCAGAATCCAAATGGACCAATCCGTGGGGCCGTTACGTTACGTCCGTGGATTGGCTGTGATTCGGTGTGTGAGCACGCACACAAACTCCCAGCCAGGCTGCGGGTGTGTGTGTTCGGGCTGGGTTTCGCTGTCTCACAGGCTGCCACTGGGCTCATAGGGA